CCTCGCTTTGCCAGCCGTGCTGACGCAGAGCCCCAGCCGACAAGCGTGGCTGGATCCACGGTGTCATCGCCGCGTTGTCGCCGTGCTCCTCGGCGCAGTCGTGGCCAAGCTCTAGCGTGACGGGCGAAACAGGCTCAAGAGAACAAATTTGTGCGAGCTCCATGCACAGCCTCACCAGAGAGGCTTGCACCAATGGTCAGGAAACTCTACAATGTGCCATATGAACTCTGTTGCTAAGGGTCGAACTCATATACTGAAAAGCATGAATTTTCTCCTAAAATCCTGACACTGGCTAAAATTTATGAAATACAGAATGCCTGAATTTTTCAATTGACTTCTGCTTTGGATCATTTAAGGCTCATGATTTCCAGCGTCTCTTCTCCTCGATTTCTTTTAATAGTCAGTCCAAGGTGCTTGTTTTTGTATCAAGGAAATCGAGTTGCTTCTGTCTGATTCCAAAGGCTGCAGTTTTTAGTATAGTTTTTAATATATATTTAATTATTTGAGACTTGTTATAAAATCATAAGAGTTGTCAGCAATTTGAATGACCTAGCTGCTACATAAATAGAAAAATCTGAGTATGTAAATACATGACAAACAATAGTTAGTATTATAAGCATTAGGACAACGAGGTTTAATCAGTAGTGCATCAGTGAGGGAGTCAGTGTCATCTGGCTACCTGTGTGATCTGCCACGAATCATTTCACAGTTCTGTCATTGTAAGTAAGAGCTAAAGATAAGTCATGTTATGTTATAGCTAGCATTACAATAATTCATTTTACTATAGCACTACACATTTTGTATCTGTAAGATTTGACACCTATAACTATTCTTACATTGATTTTAAGTGCTTTGTTTTCTAAATTTTATGAATTCTAAGAATATTTTTTGTATTTTAACAACCTTTTAAAAATGTATTTTGGGATTTTGGTTGCCTTTAAAATGATTTTTAGGTCTTTAACTCAACACAGAGCTTAATAATGCTAAATAAATAGAATCAGATGTCACCAAAACATTAAATGAAAGGAGGGAGTGGTGTTAACCAAGTTAATAATGACTTCCAGAGAGCACCTCCTTGTTCAAAGCATACCTGGCAGGAAGGGCATGTTCCGTACACAGTTAAAAGGCCATAATCTTGCAAAGGTTTGACTTTGAAGCATGTGACTTCAATGACTTTGATTATGCATGGAGGACAAGGTTAGAAAATACCAGGATTAGTTAGGGAAGGGCTAGGTTCTGCAACATTCTAGGCACTTATTACTGTACCCAAATCTTTGTGTTTCCATTTTAAAGAAAAGACTTTACAAATGCAGTTGTCCAGCCATGAGGAGGCCTCCATAGCTAAGTTTAACTGAAGTTTTTAAGAAGTAGTGTAGAAAAGCAAGTATTGCAGAACTGTATTCCCCTTAACTTTCTGTACAGAGCCCTATTGGGCAGTCAAGGTAGCAAGGGCAACTGGGTCACATTCATACCAGCAATTACCTTTTCACAATTAATCCAAAAATTATGATTTCCAAAGAAAGGTCAGCTATAGCCAAGTATTTCAAAAAATAAGAAGTATTTTTGGATAAAGAAAGCAAAAACACTTAAGTTCTAACTTGGTCCAACAGTCTATATTTCTGAAAAGAAAGAAGGCATTTTGGATTCTTCAATCCATCCCAGCAATTCAAGTTTCCGGAAACCCTGCTTTACTAATATATATGCCACATGATCAAAAGTGAATGAAGATTATTCAGAATTTCACCAACTATTTCCCTTTTTTGGAGGTAGCTGGCATAAGCTCTTAAACATGACCCTTCAGAGGTTCATACGTATATTACACTGAAGAGCTCTTTGCCCGCAGGGTCCATTATGAAAAAAAAACAAAAAATTACAGGAAGAAAAACAGAGCATTCCACTACTTTCTCATCTCTTTTTATTTCGCTTACACCCCTTTGATCCCTTTGAGGTTTCCGTCAAAATATTCCTTCTCCTACTTTTTACACTACCTTCCACAGCTTCCCTCCTATGGGAGTTGATTTGCTTTTGAGGGGGAGGTCTCTCTAAGTAGCACCCTGTGCTTCAGGTTCATGTAAGCTATGAGTATACAGCTTTGCCTGTGTTGCTGATGGTTTATGAACCAGCCGGAGTAACATATGTTCAGCTAACTTAATTGGCAATTGTTTAGTTAGAGATAAAGACCCCAAACCTATATAATTAAGGTTTGAATAGTCAAAACCATGACTGTGTAGATTTCAGTACTCTAATGTAGCATATTGATACTGGGGATGCTGGCCACTTTGACCTAAGCAGTCAGTCAAAAATCAGAATCCTGTTAAGAGGTTTCCAGTATGAGAATAATACTGGAAATAGCTAACTATTCCTTCTACAGAGTCCTGTTGACTTGCAAAAAAGCACAAATTCCCATTTCCATTTGCAAAATCCTGTATCTCGTAGATGAACCTGACATTGTAGGCCTCTGTAACTGAGGGAAGGAAAGAGCTCTTCATGAGCTTATGTTCCCCTGAGCAACCATTCTTGCTTTATTGCTTTGTTTGTTAACCAATGTATCAGCATTAACACTTTTGTGTCAGAGTTGGGTAAGAAGTCAGAACACTGCAGTCTTTCCAGCCACCAAAAATCCCAAGCTTGAATGAATTTTTCCAAGAGCTGCAGTGTTAATGAAGCCAGATTTCCTCTGAATTTGTGTTCTAGCCACTGAACGCTATAAGTCACTATTTTCCATATCCATAAACCTTCTTTGCATAGTCCTCCCCTAGCTATTTGAGATGGGCAAGAGTCCTGACTGCAGCTGTGTCTTAGCTACAGGTATACAGATTGGCCAAGAGTGGCCAGCTGACTGCTGCCTCTTGGAAGGGTAAAAGCTAAGTTCTAGCCATGTTTCCCTCTGTGGAATATTAACAGGGGCTCTCACCCCAAATATTGTTTCACAAAACACTCAGAAACTTGGTATCTTTGACGCTTCTGCTCCCATGTCAAATTTGGCCTAAATTAGCTAATGGCTTCACAAGTAGCAGGGGAAGAAACCACCTGAAAGGAAAGTCATTACCTAAGCTTTGCTTTCTTAGTATGCTAAGATGATGTCAGCCATGCTGAAACACAAGGAATGTATGGTCTCTCATCACCAGAAACTGTCATATATGTGAAAGCTATTTTTAAGAGATGTAACCAATTACTAATTCCTGTCCAGTGGTGCCAGAGAACTTAGACTTTAGCTATGCTAAGTCACCTTCACCTCATAATGTTTGTGCTCTTATGTAAGCGCAAGTATCCATATCAGATAGGAAAGAGGTTTTGAAACATGAATATACTGATACAGTGGCAGTTAAAACCGCTTTTTTTTTTTCCAACCGAAAATGCTCAGTCATGGTCTCTCAGCCACTGAGATGTTTTCTTTTTCTTTCCCAACCTATGAAATAATTTTGCAATACTGACAAACTCGCAAATGAACTTCCAGAAGAGCCCTGCAGAAACTCTGCATGTCTGCCAGCCCTTGGGAGAGGACCAGTTATGTACAGATTATTTCCCTTCTATCAGTGGGAATATTTTGCCTCCCTCTCTCCCGCTACCTTACTGGCAGGAATAAAAGGGGGCTTTAGAATTATGGATTTATTTTGATTGTAGTTCTAAGCTTACTTGAGACCATTTGCAACACATGGCAGAATATCTTGCCTAGAAAATACACGAGGTGAGGGAAGAACATGATCCAATAGCCTTCCAACACAGCTAGTTGCTGGCATACAGCGAAGACTTTAACTTGCTGCTGACCTTGTCCTGCTGGGAGAATAGTCTTTTCCTTCTTCTTGTGACCCATCTCCTAATATTGCACTTTGAAATTGAGTGTGAAGAATCAGATTTAATTTGCTAGAGCATCCCAGTGTATCATTTCTTTGTGATAATGCATAAAAATTATTCAAAGTGACCGAATTCAGTTTTCAAGAGTTCACAAACAACCCTGTGCTTCCACTTCTTTCTTAAACCTAACTATAGATGAGGCCCTGCGACTGACTAAAACCTCTTGTGTAACTTCCAGATAAATTTCTCTGTGAGGCTTCTTTTTTTTATCATTAATGATATATACTGCGTCCTGCCCCCTTTGCCTTGCCCCCCAACAATCAATCTTGTGATGCCCAGTGCAAGATAAACTATGTCTCTGAACTGGGAGAACAACTCCTAACCAGAAGATACTTCAAACCCATCAAAATGTACTGCACTATATTGGACCAAATCCAACAGAAACTCTTTTGTCCCTGGTTCTCCTTGAGGGTTTCATCTATTCCTGTGTCTTACTGACTCACATTCTGCATCTTTGGCTTCTCTCTGTAGAATCTTTTCCTTGTCAGAAACATCCAGCAAATTAACAGGGATCTTTTCCATTTTCACATGCAGAAAACCTAGGACTTTCTTGAAACCTGCTCTCAAACAGGTTTCAACCACTCCCACCTTTCTTTTGAAGTATAGTTATCATGGCTTCAGTCCCTGAGAGGCAGAAACATTTCAAAACTGATACATGTATCTTTTTCTTTTTTTTGCACCAGGCCACTTCTCTAATAAGGATTTGTAAAGCACTTAGAAATGTGTAGGATTATTCATTATGCAGTTACTTGCTACAATGAAAGCTGGTAATCAGTTTGATAATCGAAAGATAATAACAGCTTTCCAGATTCTGGAGTGATATGTATTTGCAGTCACTGTCTCCATTCAGCAAATTAGGTGTAAAATTACAGAGTCTCTGCTTCCTAGTTGTTTTTGAACATGTCTGGTCTAATAGCTACCATGTTGTGCCAGGTTCCACTTTTCTGTGTTTTCCACAGATGTTGTTCAATAGCCAGATTCCTGTTATTGGTTTAAATGTCCAGATTAAGTGTTGTGAAGCTGATGCTTGCATTTCCAAGCTCCTCCTCTTCATGTGTGAGCTCCCATCTTCAATCATCCCCCTCTCTCCCAAACTGGGAAAGGAGATTTCACCATCTGTCATGGTCTGTGCTGGCCAGCATGTTATTTATAACCACGCTTTTTGTGTCCAAATTTTTTCCAGTATCAGCTTTTAACATAATTACTACTCTCTAATTTTGCATTATTGCCAACTGTCCCTGCTGATGGACTATCTCTCTTTCTAATTGTTCACAAATATCGCATACTAGATGCGGATTCCATTTCATCACACGCTTTAAAACATGAGCTGACAAGGATCATGAAGATTTACTTCTTAATGGCTATTTTACTCTGGTGAAGGGGAAAACTCATGATATACAAATTATATTGCTTTGCAGACCTCCTGTGCTTCCTTTCACTGATCTTGACATGGTTTTAAACCTATAGATTGGTCCTCTGGCAGCTGACTATTACGCCCTTGCTAGTATCTTCTCACAGCAAGAATACAAGTCTTTGCAAGTCTTCTAACAAGCCAGCTAGCTTCTTCCTTTCCCCTTTCCTTCTAGCACACAGCTGGGCTCTAGCAAGATAGCTGCTGCTACCTGGTATGTTACGGGCTTGTAGGTGATCTGGGTAAGTCACTTTAATCCTGGGAACAAGTGGTACTGTGCCATCAACACTGTCTATAGCTGCTGGAGATAGCCCATTCTTTTTTTTTTTTTTTCAGTAATCCATTTGGACAGTGAGGTCAACTTCAACCAGTACAGTTTTTCCTTCCACCCACCCTGTCCCCCAAGACAGTAAACGTTTGTATTGCTATAGCTGGGTAATTTCATTCCTGCCCCATGGACACAAACAGAATAAAAGAAACACATAAAAATCTTATCTTACTAAAATGCTTTTTCTGGCTCAATTCCCCATCACGGTTGCTCATTTCCACCGTGGCACGGGAACTTTAATTTCCTTCTGGGGCTTATTATTAGCTTCCCTCTTCAGTTAGGAAGTTACAAATAGGCCAAAGGTTTCCTGATTTCCTGCCATTCCTTCCCCTGCCACTGTTTCCAGTCAGTTCTTCTGATCTGTCCAGAACATTTGATTTCTAGCCTTTTTATCTTGCCAGCCCCAAACGGGAATTTTCAATTTCAGACATATTTTATTCTGGTTTCTTTTTGTCAGTTCCTCAGTTCTCTATGGATCCCTTAAGTGAAACTTCAGATCCAGCTTGTGAAATTCACCAGTTTCCTCTGGGGAGATCTCCAGCTCATGTTTCAGGCCTTCTCTTCATTCCTTTTAGCCGTTTTAATTTCTGACACCACCGTTAACACTTTCAAAGGTAGTTCAAAGGAACAGCAGCTTACTATGCATTTCCTTGGTAACTGCCTCTAATTTTTAAAACGGTATGAACCAGCACTTGGTCAGATGTCGGGGTCCCAGAAGTTGTTTCTAGACAAGGAAAACCTGTGGACGCAGTTGGTTGTTATTGCTTTTCTAAATAACCCAACCACTAGGGGGGAAAAAAAAATCCAGTTTCCTTACAGATCAAAAGTCGTTAAGTGGCAACTCCTTAAACATCGCTCTGGCTCCTTTCTGCTAGCCCGTAGCTAACATCTCGGCCTGTGCAGGGCAGGTGGCAGCAGCTGTGCTCCCAGGTCGAGCTGGGCCCCCGGCAGCAGCACGCCTGGCCCTGTGCCCCGTGGCTGCCGGGTGGCGCACAGCACGCGTGACTGTCCTGCTGAGGCCCAGCCCACCGTGGCTGTGCCATTACCAGAGCAGGACTGGGCCCCAGGGGGAGGTGTGAGGGAAAGGCCTGATGGAGCCCTTGGAGCGGGAAAAGCGCTTCTGGGAAGCAGAGGCAGGAGATGGAGGTGCGCATCTTCAGCAGCGAAAGGTGCCTAGTATTGCAGATCTAAGAAAATATTAATTTCTGTGTACACTGGCTGCTTTTAAAAGTTACAGGTGTTTCATACCATAGACCTATAATTATAAAACTCATTATGGATTAAATCAAAGTGTGGGTAAAGCATACCAGATTCTCCGTGGCCCCCAGTTAGCTAAGAGGCCCGAGAAAACCAGAACAATGCTGGTTTGAACATTGACCAGAACGTTGAAAAGGAAGGGATTGAATTTGAATAGTGAAAGATAGGAGGTGGTTAATTTTGTCCAATATTTCTCCCCTTCAACAACTATCGTTATGTTAGTCTTGGCATTTGTGTTCTTGGAGAAGAGGTGGCACATCAGTGTACTCTCTTGGGTGGAGAGGGGAAATGAGTTGTTCTATATATGCGGAGATGTGGGATGCTTCAGGAAAAAAAAGCAATGACTAAAAAACAGCAGTGGTTATGGTAAGGTAAGTATTTCCACAGAGGCTGAAGTCCATAGGGAAGCTTGGCAGTTATTTATTGCCCCAAAATATCACCTGTATAATACATCCTTCCAAATTGCGTAGAGTGACTAAATCTGGATCTCTTGACATGAAGAAATGCTACTGCCTGGCAATATAACCTTTACTTCTCATTGGAGCAATGTCACAGCACATCACTGGGACACACAGTACTACTTAAACCTGGCCCAAACTTATAAACTCAGCCTGTGCTATACAAACTACCTCACCTTAGCCTTAACACTTTTCTCAGAGATATTGACCGTGCTTACCTGTAGGCCATGAGCACGTATTTCATGGCTCCTGACAATCCCTGCAGGACTTCCCTGCCTGTGTGTGTCCTGAAGTGGAGCTAACCCATTGCTGGTAGCAGGGTGACAGCTCCGACGGCTTGCTCCGACAAGTGCCGTTCCTGTTCAGTACGTCATACATAGCACAATTAGTGGCAATTAGCAAATGAGTGGAAAAACACTGATACTCAAAGCCATGAAACCTACCCGAACCCTGCACAAATTGCAGCACACCCTCAGAGCCCTTTCTCACGTCCACTCCTACTGGTCGCTGCCTGTTTTAGGGGATTAAATTCAGTCTAGCTTAACTTGAAATGCGTCCCGCGATGTGAAAGTTAGGAAGAGGGGGCGAGCGGGGACCGGGACGCCTTGCCGGGAGGCGAAGCGCCGGGTTACGGCGTGGC